TGGAAAATCTTGCCACGATTTCCCTTTTACACTATTTCAGCTAACCTTCAGTTCAATCATGCCTGAACCATTCCATGTTTTAGAAATTATCATATCTCCGCTGCCGATCAAATTTGATAAGATAGATGCTGAAAAACTGGTAACATTTGTTATACCTCCACACGTATGTGAGTTATTGACATATTTCCTTGTGTTGAATAAAACAGGATAGCTTTCACGCACAAATTATTTTAAATGAGATTCAATTATCCATCAGTGGTTTATTGACTTTCAGAAATTTTTTTGATACATTCTTGCAAAATCACTTTAAAAAATTGCAATACATAAGCAAAGAAAAGATCATCAAAGCCATACAAAGCATGGCGATAAAGTAGAACATACATATGTACATATGGTGTCATTCGATAAGATGTGAATGGCGATCAATGTGTAAAGCAACTCACAAAATTTATTCTCCCTTTGATGGCGTACTGCTTTTAGTGTGTGTACCTCGTAAATTTGGAATTGAAGGTTTACCTTTCTTGACTTAAATTCTTTGCAGATATATACAGTGGATGCGAGAAATCACGGCGACAGTCCTCATACGTCTGATCTTATTTCTGCCCATATGGTAATGGATGCTGTCGAACTAATGAAAGATAGAGGAATTAAAAAAGTTTGCGTAATGGGTCATAGCATGGGAGGCAGAACGATGATGCACTTTGCTCTTAAACACGTCAGTATTCCGAATTTTCAATATCAGCAAAAGCAACTGTAACTAGCTTTTATTATTTCACAGCCTGAGTTAGTGGATCGGGCAATTATTATTGATATGTCTCCTATAACACTACCTCAAGATTTTCATCTGTTGGAAGAAATATGTAAAGCGATGGAAAGTATAAATATTCCTGCAAAGTACTCCTTGAGTGAGGGACGAAAACTAGCTGAAGATCAAGTTAAAGATTCGGTGGGCGCACTAGTTACCGTTCAATATCTAATAATGAACTTGAAAAAGCGAGAAAATGGAGAGTATGTGTAATTCCTAAACATAATTTCTATTATATAAATTTTATTCTTTTGCAAATTTTAACACCGATATTTTAGACTACATACATATATCGCCAATTACCTAAAACACCGAGATTATTGTCTTTCTTGTTTCGCGCTACAAAAAATACTAAGGACGTTTTTGTTGTAATCACAAGAATGTTCCCTAAATTTGGTTTTGGATTAACAATCTTCCGCCGTATATAAATCGTTATTTCTAACACAAAAAAAAAATTTATTTAAAACCACTTCATAAAAAATCTTATTGTATATCGTTTTTTCTTCAATGATTTCATCATACGTCTATATACTGTTTTAGGTTCTACTGGATGCCAAATCTTAAAGTAATTTGCAAAGATTTTGGGTTGTTCAAAAAATTTAAAGATGATATTAAGTATTTGCCGCCCTATAAAGGGCCAGTGATGTTTATCTGTGGGACTCAATCCAATTTTATCGAGTAAGAAATAATTATCGTAACCGTTATTGTTTGGTAACTATAAACTAATCCTTTGTTCATTCCACAGGCTCAGTACTTGGCCGGATATTCAGCGAATGTTTCCAAATGCAGAAATACATTGGCTCGATGCGGGTCACTTAGTGCACTTTGACCAACCAGAAAATTTTCTCGACTTAGTGGTAGAATTTCTAAAACGATAAGTTCAAATTTTGTTTCCTCAAATTTCGTGGAAGAGTAATAATTGTTTTTTATCGGTATAGATCGGTTGCTAATATAATGAGCTTTCGAAAATAAAATATTCGCCTCACTTTAATTGCATGCCTTTATATTATATTAAGAGTGATAATAAAATATATGTATGTAGATAGTTCAAATCTCAATATGAATTATTTTGAACAAACATCACATCAACATCGTAACTAAGATTATCTCGCATGAAACGGTCCCCGATATTCTCTTAATAATGTTGAATCTTATTTCTGTCCCGCCGTTATCGATTCAAGAAAAACTATAAATTGTCTTTAACATTAGAGTTTCACGAGATCGCATATGTTTTAAAAATTAACCACATGTCTCGTTCTGGGAGTTATTTTTTCTCTCACTTGGATACAATAAAACTATTCGGCATAATCCATTGAAATAACAACAGCGTACGCTATGAAATTGCCAGGGGCTGCAAGGAAACGGATCCCGTATATAAACAGGCCTGCCTTCTAACAAAGCTTCTGCTTAACTCAACGAATGATGCCATATATGGAATGGACCAAGTCAATGAAACGTCTGCTCGATGACTCTTGGTCCAAATGCGAAAAAATGTATGTACTAATCCATACCAAAGAAACGATTTTTTCGAATAGATCTGTCCTAGATACTATTTCTGGAAATAAAAGGAATGTTCCTACCAAACTGAGCAAACCTTGGTATGTATCAAATTTCAAGTAAATCGAACTACATGTTCAAATTATTTTATATATCAGAACTTGGTCCCCTTCCCGGAGAGAAGTGTAGTCTTCCTGTCAATCTCAGCAAAAGGCCACCTTTGTACTGAATTTTAAGTAAATTGAATCGTACATTTGTTTTAATAAGTCCGTCCCTTGGACTATTTTCAATAACTAGGTTCAATTATTTATGACTTAATAAGCAAATATATAAAACGCACTTATTTTATTGCTCTCCATCTTTCATTTCGATGTGAATATTCTTCTTTTCTTCAGCAACTGATAAATGTAATTTGATATGGTCGGAAAAAGCCTTGCCACCAAAGTTCTTTCAAACAATGTAACCTGTGCACTAGATTACCAAATTTAATTTCGGGTGTTAAAAAAAGAAACAAAACTTACTTTACCTGATATAAAAAACGAAGGAATATAAAATTTACAGAAAAAGATTTTTGACTTCAAGATATTGCCACTTTAAAAATATTTGATACATTTTTTTACAACAAAATGCTAAGCCGCCAGAAACTAATCTAATTCCATTAAATTTCAGAAAATACTATGCAAAGCCTTTTAGTTTTTTTAGTATGTTTTATTTTTCTTAATTTTTTTGTTTACATAGAAAGTTAGAAAGTTGGAAATGTTATTTTTAAAAATATTGAATTTGTTAGCACAAAAATAAAGCTAAAATCAAAAAATCTCTGTATGTCAGATATATATTATTTTTGAAAAAATTTTGAGTGAAACCACCTTGTTTTTGTATCATGCTACCCCCTTTCCCCTTTAATTTATTAAATGTGCAAACACATTCGTAACTTTTGGAGCACTTCACCCACACAGCGATAGTTTTTATATTACTTTGGGAGAACACCCATTACAAACGGACATAAGAGTTTTTTTTAATAGGTCAGTCCCCGGCCCACTTCCCGGAGAGAATTATAGTCTTCCTGTTAATCTAAGCAAAAAGACATCTATTTATCTAATTTCAAGTAAACCGAAGCATGAGTCAGATTTTTTCGAATAGGCCAGTCGCTGGTCTACTTCCAGAAAATTTATTTCATGGAACCCTTCCCAGGTATCATAGAAAAAATCTGTCGAAATTCTGTTTTTTCGAATAGATCAGTCCCAGGTGCTCTTACCGGTGTGAAAAATAGATGTCAGCCGATTCTCCGATCTACAGAATATGCACATAAAATTTCATTTGAGTCGGTCGAGCCGTTTCGGAGAAGTATCGTGTCTAACATTGTGACATCAGAATTTTATATATTAGGTGCTCCCTCCTATTACTGTCACATTCGGTCTTCCAAGCCTTGTTGCCTGTTAGAGCTCCTGAGGGACTTAGGGCTGAGCTGTAATGTGAAAAAATAAGAAAGCACAAGGTAACGGTCGCGATGCACATCGTTCCATCGTACCAATACTTTAATTCATCACTGTATGCAGCACCAAAATTAATAAATACATACATACGCGTATGTATGTACATATGTACAGTATGCCAATTAATTGTTTGCAAAATGAAAAAAAAACAAACAAAATTCATTTTTCAACTTGATTTTTATTAACAAAAAAAATTTCTTTAACTTCTTTTTTTTTAAACAATATTAGCCTGTAAAAGAGATATAAAAATTCAAAAGGCAGCAAATATTATGGTGTCAATTAATTGTTAGCATTTTGTAAACAATTATTGCAAATATTATATAATTAAAAGTGGCAATATCATCTATTTTGGATTGTCAGTTTCTTTTTGACGGATAAAAAGGTAAGTCGTGTTTTGGTGTGCTCTTCGGTTTTTTACTATTCGAAAACATGGATCAAAGAAACTGGGTAAGTTTTGTGCACATACGCACATACATATTGTAATAGGAAAAAGTGGAGGTGACGAATTGGAGGAATGAAAACTGGTGGAATGAGTATTAAAATCTTTGGTTTTGCACAAACATAATAGAAGGGATCTAGATGATATTAAAGGGATGATGACATCTCTTATCAATTCAGCTTAAAATTATCTTCAAACATCGCTTTACGACTATGCTATTATTATGAGCCGTAAAGAACTTTTATAAAGGAGATGAATAATCTTATCTGGGTTTCATACAATTGGGTCTAATTTGGTAATGTTTGAAGTAAACATTGAAGTCCTTCACCCAACATGTAATGAGTGCTGAGAGTTCTTTTGACGTGTTAACACAAGGATTTATTTTATTCCTAAAATCTAAGTTAAGGTCCATTGTTTGTATGGTACATTTATAGATATGTGGGAAAGCTGTAATAAAGTAACTTAAATAAAGTTAATTCCTTCCAGCGGGGATCGCATGTTTTTGTCATAAATATTTCGTACTATTTTGCTCAGTTATGATTTCTAAATATTTTCACGCATTGCACAGCTCAAAGCGAAGACACATTTTTCCAAAACATACATAAATCCAATATTTGAAAATGACGCATATAGACGCGACACAGACTTTACTTTAATTTTTATATTATAAAAATATCAAAAGCTTCCTTGACATTTTGCCACGATTTAGTTTTTCAAAGAAAAAAAAATTAATATATTTTAATTTGTAGTGAAATGTCATTTTAGGTAATCAATGAAAAATCTGTAGTTAGTCTACTCATTTCAATGATGAAAAATTTTTAGTTCACGTTTTTTTTAAGATTTTTATTTAAATATGGAAATTCTTGAAATTCTTTGAAAACAACATCTAGTGCTAAGGCAGCGTGTGGGGAAAGGGACAATTGTTTACTTACATCACCTGCTTATGATCATGCTTGGTGATAGAAGAATATCGAGAAATAATCCAGAAAATAAAATGAAAAATAGTATGGGATAACAGCAATCCATTAGTTGCCAGAATCGATGTAAGTGCAATTTGCATTCTACTTTTACATTTGCTGATACAAAATTTGTTTGTTTGTAGATTCATAGGTTATAACAGAAATGCTAAAGGCTTTTGAACATTTGAATTGTCCACTCTGGATAATTTAGGGACAATGGAAAACGGAGAACTCGTGACCATTTTTACATCATTTACCGTGTTCGAGGCATTGCTGGTTGTAAAATCCATTGTTTATGACTTACATTTTTATTAAATTTCCGCTTGCAAAGAAATTTGCACACAATTCTGTCAACCGATAAATCGGTTTCTGTAACATTTGAAATCGACACAAATTCTGTTTCGAAAATGAAGACAATATGCAAACCAATAATCAGAATGTGTAAACCTTTAACAGAATTTTGTCGGTTTCAATTCTGATTCCGATTACAATCTGTTCCTGTAACACCGTTGAATAAGCAATTCGAATCCCAAATAAGACTTGGAGATAATTCTAACGATTTTAATATTCGGTGTAATTATTTAAACGATATTCGCTCTCGCTGTTGTCGTAAACTACTCGACAAATCGCTAACTAAGCGACGAATAGTTTTAAATTGTTAGCGATATCAACAAAATTTTGCTATTTCTTTACGGTTGAAATAAAGTAAAGTAAATCGGAAAATTGCCTAAGTTATATAAAAATAATAACCCAAAATGGCTTTTGGAGCCAGAAGTTTGCTTCTGAAAGCTGAAGATCGTTTCCACTTGAATGTAACTGAGTTCCTTGCTAGCCAAATATCTTTTAAATATTTTTTTCAGATTTAACACGGAGAGCAATGGAGAATATATATGAGTCAGTCATGAGTAAGCCGTTGTATTCATCGCGATACAGAAGCAGTCACTACTTCAATGCTTTATGCGAAGGGGAGATTTCCCATTACGAAAGTAGAGTGGATAGCTCCAAGGAATTTTTTCCATTTCTTCCATTTCTTGCAGGCACTACTGGGGCAATCGATTGCACTTATGTGTCCATCACGAATCTCAGGAGCCATGAAGAAGCCTATGCCAGTTTTCATGGATACCATTCTGTAAACGCGTAAAATATGAGAGTAAATTTTTTTTCAATTACTATTTTAGGAACAAAGTTCATTATATTTGTAAACTGATGTGATCCTTAACTCAAGATTTTGGCGGCAAATGCTTCGACTATACCTCGTTAAACTGGTATAACCGATAAGATGGAGTGCTACCAAGTTTTGTTAAGAGATTTTATACTAGTTTAGTTATTGTGAATGTTAAAATGCGAGTCAGTCAAACTACAAAGTAAACAAAAAATTTATTCAAACAAGAAAGTCATATTGAAAATGGCAGTCCAGTACTAGTAATTTTGTACTCTAATTTAACAAACCCTTGTTTACAGAAAGCGTAGGGTACACGTGTATGTGCGCAGGTGCAAACAACGGCATTGGTAATTAATAGAAGGAAGGCCCGCTTTCACAACGTCCGATTGACTTAACCTCTAGCCGAAGGATACCTAGCCGCCAGATAGTCTGATGTGACCT